GAAGTGTGCATTTTGCAGTTCGACTTTGACATAGGCAGCATCGTTGGGCACTAGTGATGACGTTGCTGCGATTTCTTTGGTCAGCAAGAACTTGCCAATTCGGTCGCAGGAAGTCAATGCTTCAGAAGAAACCATGATGGAATTGGCGAAAACAGTGCATGGAATACGTGCCACGTTCACGTACGCTATGATAGTGAATGCCAGCGGTGTGGTGAGTTCGTTGCCTTGAGCGATGTATAAAGCAAGACACAAAGCCAGAGAAAAGACCGGGGCAATGGACAGCACGACTGTGTTGAGCACGCGTTGGTACTGGTACGATCGGAGCAGGGCTAGTTCCTTGGCGCGGATGGTTTTAATGCGCTCCTCCATGTAGGTTTCCCAAGCGTAGAGCTTGACGACTCGAATTCCATGGAGGATTTCGTTGGTGAGCTTGACTCGTTCAGCTTGGATGGTTGTAATGTGATGGCGCGCTTGTCCGACGGCTTTTGCAGACACAAGTCCCCAGTAGAGGACTGCGGCTATTGACAAACCTCCAACGAGTCCGACGACGAAGCCCATCTCGATCCCGACGAGGATAAATACGGCTATCAGTGTCGCTGGGGCTACCACCAGCCACGGCACGACCATGTACCCCTGAAAGAGTCGTTCAGAGTCAACGGCTGCCATCGTTACGATTTCTCCAGATGTCATTTTCGCATTTGAACATCTCGACAGCTTTAGCGTCTTGTGGTACACCGAGTCCATGACAATGGACTTGGCGTTCACGCCCAAGGTCGTGTTTAGGTACTGACCGAAATCGGCCAAAGTAATTGCCACCACCGACAAGACGGACAAGAGTGCTGCGAGGAAGTACCCCATCGAAACCCCCGGCGACAGCTGGTCGCGAGGCGTCTGCAGATACTCCAAAAGCAGCTTGACCATAGTCGGCTGGACGAGCATGAGGACCGCGTACAAGCCATGGAGTGTCGTTGCCCACAACGTTGTTAACTTCAGCGTTTTCCACATGGCTCGACCAAATTTCGGGCGATCGGCATGTCCGTTGAGCTCTTGTTGCCAGTGAACGTGAAATTTCGCGTGAAGGTGCGCCGCTGTGTCACGTGGGCAAAGCTTCCATACATCGTTCTCTTGCATCGTCCGCTTGGCCCCACGATGAATGAGCGAGTCGAACCACAACATCGTTGCGACGCGAAACCAGTTTGCAGTGTCCATCGGGTTGGGCAGGTCCCTCCATGCTGCATTATCTGTGATGGATGGGTTGTCACCAAGCGGCGACGCGAGGGCAACAAAGTGCTGCCCAATGCTCTTGTCATCAGGCTGAGCATTGCACTTCGTTAACCCAGGCAGCACTAACATCTCAACTTGGTCAAGAACGATGGAAAGTGAAGCTTAACCTCGTCGCAGAAGTGGTTGGTCGTGGCACTTGATCTCCGTTGATTGTAAGCTTGTAATCAGCTCGCGTGCATGGACGCAGGTCGCTGCAAATCTTGAATTTTAGCGCCAGCCCAATGACATGCGTCGATCAGACGTGGCTGGCGCAAATCCATGTTACACCGCAGTTCGGTGCCGCCAATGGCACCAATGCAAAGAAGCATTGGGGCCGTCGGCAGGGCCTCCGGCCGAACGTTAGATTTCCGAAACTTGCAGACAGGACATTGCAATCGACGGAGCACGTGTGAAAAACACGGTACAGTACTATCATTACCTCGATCCAATTCCACCCAGACAACATTAACAAACTCCACAATGGCTGCAAAGGTCTTAAGTGCCTGAGTGTCCATGTCCACCACACGTTGAACGTAGCCATTCCGACCAAACGCCGCAGAAGTGACGTTGCCCTTCTCGACACGGAATCTTGTCATGGGCAGTCTCCCATTCACTTCCGACTTGGGCAAAGTCGGGGGAAGGCCTTACATACAGCGCGGTTGCGAGGCGTGTTCGCGATCGGATCTGTGGCAGATTGAATGTGCGACCACAGGTTGGCTAGCATCTGTACAGTAGGTCGCAACGTACAGTAGGACGCGAAAGGTGGCTGACGTGCACCTGGCCAGTCGCAGCAACACGAAGTATGAGGGTGGATAACTGGCTGGTTTGCATTGGCGCTAATGTGCAGTTCGCTTTACGTCGGGTCCAGTGTTTCAGGGCGAGTCAACATTTGTGCTAGACAGCGAATTTGCACTGTAGTGATAAAACCAGTTTAATGTTCAAATCTACATTCAAATGGCGTCTCGACAACACGGCCCTGGCCGAAAGACGGTATGCCAGTCCACTGATGAGAGTGCGAAGAAAATAGGCGGATTTCGCAAATTAGCCGTTGCCGTTGCCATAGCCGGAACCTCTTTGAAATGATAAGTGTACGGCAAACCTTCGGAACTTTGTTTTTTGTGCCGCAGAAACGACCGATTCTACGGAGAGTCGTGCCATTCCCATAACTCCCATTGTTCGATGGCATCCACCGAGAAGCGTCGCAATTGGAGCCCAGAAGAAGACATAACCCTTCTTATTCAGGTTGCTGCAGACAGACCTTTTGCCGCCGAAAAAGGTCAGCTCAAGAAGGCATGGCAGGCGCTGGCGGATACCTTGATGGCGTGTGATCACTTCGGACGGGTCGTCGACGGAAAGAAGGTGCAGAACCGATTCCTGGCCCTCGTGGAGGAGCACAAAATCTTCGATGCAGAGTCTGCACGACTGTCTGGCGTGGATGCGGAAGAGCGTGAAAAACACGTCCTCTTGGACGACATTGTCAATCTCTTGGATGATATGAAAAGTTTGCCAGCAATTCGTTCCGAGGGACAAGAAGAAAAAGTCAAGATCGAACAAGGTGGTGCAATTGTGCGCGAGATGGCCATGAAAACCATGAAAAGACGATGCGACTTGGAAAGTGCCTTGGCGCTGATTCGACAGGTTTCAATTTTCGTGTCATCGGGAAAGACCCACACGTTCGATAATGGTGAACCTTTCTCAAAAATTGCTTTAACATATGCCGAAATACGCGTGCGCACGATTCGCTTGTTGCAGTAAATATGGTCTTTCCAACTGTTGTACACCAAGTTGATCATGTGATTGAAAATGCGACAGATTTGCTCCCGGGAGGGACCAAACGTAGCCAACAAATCGCAGGACGTGATGGGATGACGCAAGCGCTTCAGCATAATGGCCAGAGCCTCGACGCCAATGACGCGGTCACGGCACGAGGTAATGACGACATTGGGGACACCAATCAGCGAAGTCAGTTGTAAAACACCAGCGACGTTAAACCGAACGAAAGAATTGCGTCAGCGTCACGCATGTTGATGCCGAAACGTATAGCAGGAATGAGTGGTCACTCGGCAGGTAACCCAAGTGCGTACTCAAGGAGCATCGTGGTGATGTGCGGTTTGAGCTTCTTCCTCTTTGCCCACTTGAAAACTTGCAACGCAAATGCAATGTCCTCTGAGTTCATCGTCAAATGCAATGTGTGCAAGCAGGATGGTTCGTTATAAATATAGATATGGCTCTGGCATCCATTTGCGAAATGGTAGAATCGTCAATGCCGTTGCCGTGGCCAGACGGCCATTTTGCGGCATGGCAATGGCAACGACACGTTTGCGAAATCTCCCAAATGATGCCAGCGTTAGGATTGCCACTGACATTTTGTAATGAATATCGTCGGACATGGAATGCTTGTTGTTGTCGAGAGTGATTAGCTCTTCATCCAGGATGTCGTCGTTGACGGCCATTGGTCATAAGTGCGATTGGATCGAAAAGGTAAGAAACTGTTCATGATATGGCATTCTCTGTGCCCCTTGTCCTCGTTCATCATCAATCGTTTCCATATTTAGTACTGATACCACTCCGTTCCCCCCAACAATTCTCAGGTACTTTTTCACTTGATTAAAGTATGTACAGCGCCATTGAAACGTCTTGAGTTTTGTATTCAAGGCCAAAACAACATAAACCCTGCAAAAATTTTAATATATTTTTTAGTGCCTCATTCAAGAGAATTGACCAAGGCATCAAGGTGACCTCCGCACCCAGTAGGCTATTCAAATGAGCCAAAGCGCTCTCGTAAGACGAGGCGTCAAAGTCGTCATTGCAAAGTCTGCAATGAGAGCATCCTGCTTAATGTGAGTAAGTTTATAATCATTGCTACCATGTGTTTCAATGGACAATTCCATAACTTTTGAAGAGTTACGAAAGTCTTTGCAAGCGTGTCAGTCGGCAACTCATAGAACGCGTCTTCTACAGCAACTATAAGCTCCTTAATGGCTCGAGTGGACTTTTTGTACTGCAGGCTTTGAATAGAATTGAAGAGTCCGAAGTCTAACAATTGGAATCGGGGTGTTCGGGGTCAACTGCAATTCCACTAACTCCTTTTGCACGAAGCATTTCAGTGATAACCCCGCGTCCCGAGTTTCCTACAAAACATGCACCCATAAATTGATAACTGGATAAATCTACATATTATGTTTGAAAGATTTTCCCTTGTTTTTTGTTGCGACATCGGTGCCATGGTTACCATCACGACGCGAGATATTCGCTTGTCTTCACAGCCGTGATATCGTCAGCGAATGGCAGTGAAACCTCTGTGCAAGCTCGTTCAGAGCCCCTCGTGGCAGTATACCTCGCACCGCTACGCTTAACAGCATTTCGCATGAAGTGTTGGGACCTGACCACTTCAAAACAATTTGTTCTTGCTCCATAGTCATTCCCATTGGGAGCCCATACTTTCAATCAGCATTTACTAAAATTAAAAAATTTCACCAGAAGCAATGGTATGGTCCGAGTTGCGACATTAGACAGTTTTCAGAGTGGTATGCCATACATTTGCCGTAGCATTATGGCACCAGTTCAGCTTATGTGTCAAGCCGTGAAATTCACCAAATTCACGACAGCCAATTAAAAATAAAATCTCCAGGATTTCCTCATTTGCAAGCATTATATGTTATGCCTAAAAACTTATGATAGCTGAAAGCACCGTAAAATTTTAAATATAAAGTACCAATATCTTTATGATTTGCCATGTCTGCCATGTCGGACGAAGCAAGTGAGGTAGTAGATGTACACGAGAAGAAATGGTGCACGGAGGAGACACGTTATGCTTGACCCAAATCACTTGAGACCCTTTCTGCAAAGAAAGGACACACGCAAGGCATGGGATTCCAAGGCTGCAACGTTGAAAGACTTGGACGGCTTCATGCGTCCAGGCATCGACGGCAAGAAATCGCAGAAGAGGTTCCTGCTCTTTGTTCACCAGCACCAACAACAACGCGTCGGCACGCCACTCTGGGGCCAGCGAGGGGGAGACGCCGAAGATCCGCCTCCTCAATGATCTGTTCTCACTCTACAACGATACTGCGACGAGGAAGAAGGCTCTTCTACCGTTGACGGAAGTCGAGGTAAAGGCTGCCAGTGTGAAGTACATACGAGAGCAAGCCATGCTCCGTGAGGATATCGGTGGAATCGAGCGATGGTTTGGACAACGGAGGCCTCAGCAAGATTTTGATTTTGGAAGCACAAGAGAAGGAAGTCGAGCTCGAGAAAGAAACATTTGCGTTCAAGCAGATCAAGTTCGAGCGCGAAATGGAGAAGCGCGAGAAAGATCTGGCCGAAAGGGAGCTGGAACGACAGTAGCGTCAATGAGAGATTGAGAGTCGCCGCAATGATTAGATGATAGGTTTTATTACGTTCTTGTTAAATAATCTTTCAAGTTGGTGGTGTTAAGTTGAAGTTCGAGCTAGTCTGGTTTCCCCCATATTGGCATGTCGTAAATAACACTGCCATACAAATATTCTTCCAACACTTACTGTAACAGCATGATTTTTACTGCATCTACTTTTCCAGAGCAATGTAGCGTCATCCCGTGAATCCACAATCCAACCCCAAATATGACTAAACAGACCGTTGGGAGCTGTGATGGCTTGGAAATGGAGACAGTTGCACACTTGTTCCCGCTATAAATGAGGCGCTTGAGGTCACCATACTGATGCGCCACACCATGCCTGATCGTATTTGTTAAAGCATTCTGCCTGCGGACAACGTCGCCGATCATGATTGATGTTGTCAACGGGTGTTACACGTAGCATTCTATGGTATTCAATAGAAAAGCCGAATGATTTATTTGACATAGAAAAATCGATCGATTTACAGGGATCGACGGAAGTCCTTCCCCCGTGGTACTCGACCATACTTCTGGAATTTTAATATTATGGATGTCCAAAATCATCCTCTGGAAATTTAGAATATTTTTCGCCAATCGAAGCCCAAATTTCAACTAAAAAGACAATACTGTGTAAATCTACTCATTGAATCCTTCTACTTTACTGATTTTCCTCTCTGTAGGACTGTACAATATGGCAACACGATCCTGTGGTAGCAGTGCCCAACGGTGTCGGTACTACTCCCTCCGTCCCACAATAATGGCGCGACTCAGAATTATGCCGTACGCCTTCTTGAACAAAATACGTAATACTGCAAGACATATTATTTTGTCCATAACATACAGTAGTACAGGTACATCGCAATAGATATTGTTGCACTGGTAGCCATATCCATGCAACTTCAAATACATGACTTCTGTCAGCGCCATTTGATTCAGGAGGGGGATTACCGATGATGTGACCCTCGACTTATTTTTAAATATTTGTGCAATACAATGCTGCTTATTGAGGTGACTATCATACACTTCGTTTGTCTTTCATCCAGTTTGCGTTTGCATAGCTCGAAGTGTCCTTCGATTGGCAAGTGGCACTTGCAGTAGTTTCGCTGTGAATGCAACCTTTCGGCCCACTTTACCCTTCTTCAGGCGGGACAGAAACACTTCACTTTGTCGGCAAGGACTCTTTGCGTGTCGTGGCAGCATGACGGTTGTACCGGTTAGATATTGGCTAAACTATTGGTGGCTAAGCTATTCGAACTTTGTGGAGTAGCACCTCGCTTGCTGGACGGAAGCACCGCAACTCATGCAGTGCGAACTGGCGCAATGCAGGACACATTCGCGTCAAGCGTGGCGTGAGCGGCCTCGGGATACGCAACGTCGGGGAGTACGTAGGGTTCTTCAGATTGGCATCAGTCCCACGCTGAAGACGACGGTGCTGCCGACCATGACCAAGCCATAAGACGACCACTCTATCGCCCACATCTGCGCAACCTGATGTGTGCGTCAACTGTACCGGATGCTTCTTCCCAGCCAAGGACTAGTGTTTGCTGGCTGAATAAAAATAGGACGACTGCGACTACACAAAGGCGACTTTGTCACAGTCTGGTGCGGCATTGCCACAAGTTCAATTCTCGTAAATTCATACACCGAAACAACCCCTGATACCAATCATCGAACTGCGAAAAAGATTTGTACTTGCCAATCGCCACCCCAAGGTAAGCCGCTCGGATTCCTTTTCCGGTCCGTGCGTACCATCTCCTTGGTATAGTCCTTTAGCTCACACACCAAGCCGATCGACAGATAGGACACGAACCATTGCTGCCATACCTCCAGTCCTGAATTGCCTACTGAGCAACGATGTAGTCCATCATGCTCTGCTTATATGCCTTAGAGTCCGGCGATACATCGACGCGTGACCGTATCCTGGGCAGGGTTGAGATTTACACCAAACGCTGTAAAGTAGGCCACCATGACTAACTTGGCTAGGTCTATATTGCGAGCATTTTTGCCTGGGGAGTAATAGTGGTGGAAGTCAATACACTCTTCAGTACCTGTAGTGAGAGGGTTGTGGCCAATAGATGACAAGATTGTCCACGTCGAAGATACAACTTGATCTGACACGAAACTACTAGTAAACACATTGTTACTGATATAGTTTACTATTATCCTGATGTTTTAGTGGTGTTATCCTTAAATGTTTAACTTAGGTGCACAAGGTGTGAAGAAATGTTTTGTGGGGTTTGGTAAGCCCCATCGGCGTGAAATTTTTGAAACCACAAATCAAATATCACCTTAAGGCTACGTCATACATAATCTGCCCATTCTGTATGTAATATGAGCCTTCCGCAGGTGAATGCTAATGAAAACCACATTGCCTCAGCGCTGCCTAATGCAGAATTTCTAGAAAGCGATCATTCTCTTAGTCTAGCTTAACTTCGGCCTTATCAATCACTTTCCCTTTTGCACTCAACTGGTTACGAGCCCAAGGACCTTTGCTAACTCCGCGCGTCTGCCCTCACTCGTGCCGCCTTCCCCGCTGCCCGAGTCCCGCCGGCACTGCCGAAGCCCAGCCAAACCGCGTTAAGAACCTCGAAACCTCGG